AACCATCTGAGCCACCCAGGCGCCCTAAGAATAACTATACTTTAATGTTCTGTCGGATGAAACTGGCTCACCGGTTAGTTTCATAATATTTTTGTCCACTTAAGACACTTCGTATTTGATCTATAAATTCGGGTTAAGTCACGTCAGGTTAGCTTCACATTTTATTACAGTGCTGCATTGCTTGGAAGAGGAGAAGCAGAACAATGTGTCCTTTGACAACCTGTTTTTCTACTTATTTTTCAGATCAATAACTCGATCTTATTACCGCAACTCAGTTGGTGGGTTTTTAGTGTTTGACATCACCAACCGACGCTCTTTCGAACATGTGAAGGATTGGCTAGAAGAGGCAAAAATGCACGTGCAGCCGTTTCGGATTGTGTTTCTGCTGGTGGGACACAAGTGTGACTTGGCTTCACAGCGACAGGTGACTAGGGAAGAAGCCGAAAACCTGTCTGCAGACTGTGGTATGAAGTATATAGAAACCTCCGCAAAAGATGCCACAAACGTCGAGGAGTCCTTTACGATCTTGACAAGAGAGATTTATGAACTTATTAAAAGGGGGGACATTTGTATTCAAGATGGCTGGGAAGGGGTTAGGAGTGGTTTTGTTCCAAATACTGTGCATTCTTCCGAAGAGGCAGTGAAGCCCAGAAAAGAGTGCTTCTGCTGACTTCAAACAGGCCAAAGAACTAACGGGAACAGATTGGGTGTCATCTCAGGATAAATAGCAACATGGATGGCAGAACGATGCACGCAAACGTTGGAGAAAGAGTTACAAGCCCACGCTAACGCTGTTTTGTAAGGTATTTAATTCAGAGCACTATGCTTACTCGCTACACTACCAAATCGGGTATTTTGCTAAATTATCAGGCAAAGCAGACAACTTTTTCTTGAAACTCAAGTGTCTACAGAATTACTCCCTTTCTCACTTTGTTAGCGTGTAGCTGACCTTCATGTCCACGTATATCAATAGGACTCATTTTTCTTGACAGTTTAAAATGGGTTTTTTGTGCCTGTGTAGTCTGACTGAAAAGATTTTATCAGGCATTATGTTCTCATGAGTTAATTTGTTAATACTGAATAGTAAAGTGGATTTAAAAGTGCACTGTTCGCTTACAAATAAACAATCTCAGACATATCATCGGCTAGGACTAAAATAACAATTCCTTGTATAAGGTACCACGTTTTTAACCATTCTTTGAAATATTTATCCTCCCGGGCGCCTGGGTGGCTCAGTCGTTGGGCGTCTGCCTTCGGCTCAGGTCATGATCCCAGGGTCCTGGGATCGAGCCCCGCATCGGGCTCCCTGCCTGGCGGGAAGCCTGCTTCTCCCTCTCCCACTCCCCCTGCTTGTGTTCCTGCTCTTGCTATCTCTCTCTCTGTCAAATAAATAAATAAAATCTGTAAAAAAAAAAAAAAATAATATTTATCCTCCCTTAATTTACCTAAACATAAGAAAGTAAGTTTTATACTCATTTTTGTTCTCTGATTTATTGCTCTTGATAATTTTATGTTTTGTGAAGATATCTAAGGATCCAAGCAAAATATTTTATTGCAAATATTTATAAAAATAAAAACGAAGGACCATTCATCAGCAAATGTTTTGATGTTATAGTATATTGTCCTTATTTAGACAAGAAAAACAAATTTATCTATATACAGGCATTTTCAAAGAAAGTAAATGCAATTTACCTTGAACTATTGTCAAAATTATTGATATAGGTAAATATGGCATGTTCTTAGTGATCGCTTTGTTGTCCACGTAAGTTTTTGAATTTCCCCATTTCTGATACAAGAAAATTATAGGAGGGCGCCTGGGTGGCTCAGTCGGTTAAGCGGCTGCCTTCGGCTCAGGTCATGATCCCAGGGTCCTGGGATCGAGTCCCGCAGAGCGGGGAGCCCGCTTCTCCTTCTCCCTCTGCCTACTTGTGTTCTCTCTCTCTCTGTCAAATAAATAAATAAAATCTTAAAAAGAAAATTATAGGAAAGATTTCTGGACAAGGACGATTGGTTAGATGTTTCATATAATTGGCATTCAAATTGTATTTCAGTAAAATTAAAGGTAGAATAATGAGTTAGGGCTATAAAATGACTTCTGAGTTTTCTAATTTTTAACTTATTGATTAAATGCTCCTCCTGGAAGGGTCATTTTGATCACAAACTCAAGTATTTTTATAACCTACATTTCTGTTCTGTTAACAATCCCTAATCACAAAGGGGCACCAAATGCAGCCCCCTTTTGGAAATCATGACTTTTACTGTTAAAATAGCATTTGCTTGAAAACCAAACTGATACGGTAGAAGGAACATTTAATGAGAAATCAGAAAGCCTGGGTTCGAAGCTTACCTTTGCCGCGCCAGTATTTGAGCATGAGTGAGTCACGTAATGTCGCTACGCTCTTAACTGTAAAATGAGGCTAATAACCCCATTTATTGTGCTTCATGAAATTATTTTGAGAATCAAGTGGATCATGTGAAAAAGCTTCGTAAATAGAGAAAGCATTATGCAAATACGAGCGTGGTATCACTGCTCACGGGCATACTATTATATTTACAACGGATGAGAATTTTGTTTTCTCATATTCTTTCCCCTCGTCCCCACATTCTGCAGAGGGAGCAAAA